ACACTGCTCTTGGGAGTCGGGGCCATCATTCCCACCTCAGTGAAGGCAACACTAAGACACTTACAAGGAAGCCGCTAATGTGTCAGTGGTGCTTCACCCCACCACCACCAGTGGTGCTTCACCCCACCACCACGAGATGCTCTGCCTGCGTCAGGAAGCCCTCTCAATGCAGAGGTCTCCCCTAGATCCCTGCTTTCCACAGTGCGCTCCAGTGCCCCTTGGCACTGCTGCCCCAATCAGCGCAGCGGCTGACTCCGCATGCCTCTGGGAAAGGGTTCTTGATGGCCCACCCTGGGAGGTAGGTCCCCCTCGCGCTGGGAGGTGGTCCTCTGTTGTGACCTTTGCCTTCCTCATGTCACCGATGGTGGGCCCAAGACATGACACGTTTTCCCTCCACCATGAAATACCGATACACTTGGTGGGAACTCCACCCTAGGCTGACGGCAACTTCTGAATGTTTTGCCTAGATAATTGGTGCAGCAAGAACCAAAACGTACGTGCAAGAGCATTCTGTAGTTGATCCTGTAGAGAAAACAATGGAGCTGAAGTCGACGAATGTAAGTTGGGCTCCCATTTGCTGAAATTTGAACAGATTCATTTGGCTTGGTCTTTCACCTCCTGCGAAGTTGGTCTCTGAATGAGTGTATGACGATAGACAGTTGCCACACACCTGTCTCAGGGTGCCACAGCCACCTTCGCTCTCCAGCCATGCCTCTGCTAGGTGGAGGGACGAACCCAGAGATGAATTGGGGAGCATCCCTGTGCTTTATCTCAAAGCTACAGATTTTATTAAACGGTGGCAATGAGCGGCGATGCCAGAGTGGGTTATCATTCCATGTCGGGGTGGTTGGCGTGGGTGTCCACCTAGCAGGGTTTGGGGTTTGGGTGTTCGTTCTGGAAATGCTTTTGCGCTTAGTTTCCAAAATGGTTTGACTGGGCTTACTGGTTTGGGTGTTTTCCATTCCACAGATTTCCTTTACAAATATGGTGTCAGTCGATGAAAGACTCATATACAAACCCCACCCTCAGGACCCAGGGAGGTAAGTTCAGAATGTGGCTGAAGGATTTTGCAGGTGGCTTGATGGGCTGGTGGGTGGTAGCTTTTTGCCCCCGCTGTGAGGTGGGTCTGGAGCTCTGGGTATGTCTTGCTCTAGAACCGTGTTGACTCAGGAAGCCATCATCACCGTGAAAGGAGTCAGCCTCAGCAGCTACCTCGAGGGCCTGATGGCGAACACGATCTCGTCCAACGCGAGTAAAGTAAGTGCGGAGCCTGTCCGGAAGCCGGTACCGCCCGCTATGCAGCCGGAGTCTCCACCAGAAAGTGGCTCTGACCCCGGCTCTGGGTGCGACCCTGACTGCTCTGCCGGCCTGGGGCTTTTCTGTTAACCATTCAACGCTCCACTGGGGGTGGGCACTGGGGGCGGGGGACAGGGGTGTCATCTAGGGCAGTGGTTCTCAACCTGTGGGTCGTGACCCCTTTGGGGGTTGAACAACCCTTTCACAGGGGTCACCCGATTCATAACAGTAGCAGAATTACAGTGGTGAAGTAGCAACAAAAATCATGTTATGGTTGGGGGTCACCACCACATGAGGAGCTGTATGAAAGGGTCGAGGCCTGAGGAAGGTTGAGAACCGCTGCTCTAGGGGGTGGGGCATGAGAGGAACTTCCAATCTCTCAGCCTTGCAGTAGACAACTTTCCCTGACTTGCCTTCCCTGTGAGATTTCAGGACCACAGGAATAAATGGGTGTCCTGTAAATACAGAAAGAGGAAGATGTTTTCCTCACCACCCCTAGGTTTTGTCCTCTTGAAAATTGTCTAGTTCAGCGATGGATGGACGGACGGCTCACCCCAAGGCCACCGTTCAAACCCACAGGCCCCTCCACAGGAGAAAGATGCAGCCCTCTAGAAACCCTGCTGGGGTCACTTGAGTGGGAATCGGCCCGATGGCCGTGGGTTTGGTTTAGAAGCTGCTCTGTGCCAGTCTGGGGACATGAGGGAGCAAAGCACATGGATCTACACACTCATGTCAAGGGGAAAGGAGAGAGACAAGGGGACGAGGCTGCAGCCTCATGGGTTTCTTCCCAAGGGGAGCCTGCTGACGGCAGGAAGAGGGGTCGGTAGGGAGGCATCAGGAAAGGAGCTGATAAGCCAAGAAGCAAGACAGAAAGTGGAGGAGGTGGGGGCCTGGGAGGGTTAGATCCTGCAGGGTCTCAGAGTGGATTGTGTTCACCCCCAAAACACCATAAAATAGACTCCCTGTCACCTAATTGTAGGTTCTTTTGCATTCAAAATTAAATGGGTGTATAGATTACAACCCAGCTGCTACCGGGGAGGGGGGTCTTGGCTTGAGCGAGAGAGAAGGGCTCAAGCAGTGGCCTGTCCTCCTTAGCCCCGGTGCCACTCGCTCCTCAGTACCGCCCGCCGTGCTGTGCTGTTGATTGCTCTGCTCTCGCCCAGCAGCGGTAACCATGCCGACTTGTTTCTCAGGGCCGGGAAGCCATGGAGTGGGTGATACACAAATTAAACGCCGAGATCGAGGAGTTGACGGCCTCCGCCAGAGGAAGCATCAGGACGCCGATGGCGGCAGCGGCGTTGGTGGAGAAATGACAGTGAGACCCAGCTGCAGCACTGGGTCCTGGGCTCCACGTTGGCAGGATATTTATTTGTTATTTAACAAACACAACTCTTAATGTATGTAGACCTTTTTTAAAAAAAAAATCTAGAGAGTCTATATAACTTTTGGTCGAAACCACAAAGTACAGAGGGCTGCTAACTTAAGGGATCATTCCCAAATAGTGTTGTTCGAAATGACCACCAAGTTTTGAGGGTGCCAGTGTTTATGGGGAAATAGAACAATTGGGGTGGGAGCAGGAGGGGATGCTTTGAGATTGGTGTTGGCATATTAAGTCTCGTGAAGGTAGATTTGCAAGCTGTCTGTACCGGGAACTCTTCCCGGCTGTGGACCAACCCCGGAACAAAGTAGCGCTGCTGCCCTGACTTCCACAAGATCCCAGGGAACCTTCCCGCAAAGGCAGAAACAATCCGACTTTAAAAGCCATATTCACTTGACTACAAGATCTAGCTCTGCTATAAACCACCGTGAAAGAAAAACACAGTGTTTTGATTGGGCACCTAAATGCTATTTTTGAAGTGAAGGTAATCACTAAAGTCCTATATGATCCCAAACTCACCCTACCCCCCACCCCCCAAAAGAGATTTTTATTGTATTAAAGAGTACTGTACTGATTTGCCAAAGTTTCGAACCTGAGTAAAAGCTGTGTGCTTTCCACCGTCTCTGCTGTCATGTGCGGTGCTGTGAACTGAAAAATAAAGTCATTACCTGAGGTTTTTAGCACTTGGAATGTAAACAGAACAGCTGTTCACATCTCTTAGCATTTCACATTTGCCTAACTTATAAATTGCCATGTGTCAAAATCATAGTTCTGTAATTGCTAAAGCATGATATGTCAGGTTATTTGAATATAATTACTTTTTGAAGTAATTGTGACCACAAAACATCTCTTTTCCATGAAGAGCTGTACATCATTTGAAATTACTCAAATGATGTCTTCAGCTGAAGCATCAGTTCCAGGTACTTAATGTCTTGAATAATACGGTGTCGCTGTGGGGTGTCGGGGCGGTGGGGGGGGAAGGAACCGGAGAAAGACAGGGATTGACCTAAGCTGAGCACTGATGACATTGCCCGGCTCCTCTTATTTATGGGAAGGCATTCTTTGGGATGCCAGAGGGCAGCGGCAGGTGGGAAAACAATGCAGTAAATATATTTTGTTTCTTGCTTGGTAGCAGGTAATTATCGGCACTAAATAATGTACTTGCGACTTGCATCCAGGGGGGGTTTTGTTAAAAGGTGATTTGCTCTTGACTTTATCTTGACACTAAGCGATAAACTTGTATCAGGTTTCCTATGAAAAAGACCGGCTGACCCATGTCCAGAAGCCGCGGAGTACAGAGACCTATTAGAAATTGTTTATTTTTATGTAGAACATTGTTCAGCTTAAGGCATCATAGGACATTTGTAAGTTTAAATCCAATAAGGTTTCTGAGTTTGTTTGTTAACCAGAGATGGTTTTTACAACCGAAATAACAACTTCAGCCAAACAAAAAGCATTGCTAAATAGTGATAGTTGATTTTTAAGTTGCCTTGTGTGGTTTTTGTAAATTGGACTTAAAAAGGGTGCAATGTCCTAATGTTAGGAGTTTTCTAAAATCGTCATCTTTTTAAAATAGTAGTCCACAGCTTTTACCCTATGAAATAGGAAAGTACACAGCAAGCAGTTGCATTCTAGAGGACAAACGAATACACTGTTGAACATCGTGTTCATCTTAAGAATGTAAGGTGTGGATTCAGGGAAAGCTTTCTCGTTAATAAAAACGTCCTATTAACTATGATGTCTTTCCTGATTATGATTTCTTTTTTGTAAAGGTGAAGAGCAGCAAAAAGTAGGTATTTTTTCCATACAAGAAAACCATGTAATTGCTTCAGGATACCAAGGTCCCTGAACTGCCTGCCTTGGGCCGGCCTCCGCCTGCTGGACCTCAGGTCGAACCCCACGCGACCCCTGAGCCGTGTCGTGGGGTGGACTCGGCACTTGGGGGTCTTGGGACCCGGGGGTGCAGACGCAGGCCGGGGTCTCCCGG